ACCTCAGCCTGCTTTTTGCTCATTGGTCCGTTTGAAGTTCCTGGCAGCTTGAGATCCCTGGCCTGAAATGTACCACATTTAATGGCAGACATTTATACAAGTTGAATAAAGCATGCGTCCATCCATTTAGATCCGGAGCACTAACATGAAGACATGTACCTAGATCTGTGTCATCACACAGCACATTTGTTTTCCACTTATTTAATGGTAATGTATGTACTTGCAGTAAAATAAGGACCATTAGCTCTAAATTCTAGTGCAACTGGCCAGATAAAACGGAGTGCCAACAGCTCCAAAAATAGCTATCACAAACATATGCTTTCTCTGTTGTTGCAGGTGTTTGAGGTGTACACTGACCCCGATGTGGTCTGTTGTTGCAGGTGTTTGAGGGGTACACTGACCCCGATGTGGTCTGTTGTTGCAGGTGTTTGAGGTGTACACTGACCCTGATGAGGTCTGTTGTTGCAGGTGTTTGAGGAATACACTGACCCCGATGAGGTCTGTTGTTGCAGGTGTTTAAGTTTTACACTGACCCCGATGAAGTCCGTTGTTGCAGGTGTTTGAGGGGTACACTGACCCCGATGTGGTCTGTTGTTGCAGGTGTTTGAGGCGTACACTGACCCCGATGAGGTCTGTTGTTGCAGGTGTTTGAGGTGTACACTGACCCCGATGAGGTCTGTTGTTGCAGGTGTTTGAGGTGTACACTGACCCTGATGAGGTCTGTTGTTGCAGGTGTTTGAGGCGTACACTGACCCTGATGTGGTCTGTTGTTGCAGGTGTTTGAGGAATACACTGACCCCGATGAGGTCTGTTGTTGCAGGTGTTTAAGTTTTACACTGACCCCGATGAAGTCCGTTGTTGCAGGTGTTTGAGGGGTACACTGACCCCCATGTGGTCTGTTGTTGCAGGTGTTTGAGGGGTAAACTGACCCCGATGAGGTCTGTTGTTGCAGGTGTTTGAGGGGTAAACTGACCCCGATGAGGTCTGTTGTTGCAGGTGTTTGAGGGGTACACTGACCCTGATGAGGTCTGTTGTTGCAGGTGTTTGAGGGGTACACTGACCCCGATGAGGTCTGTTGTTGCAGGTGTTTAAGGGGTACACTGACCCCGATGAGGTCTGTTGTTGCAGGTGTTTGATGAATTCACTGACCCTGATGTGGTCTGTTGTTGCAGGTGTTTTATGAATTCACTGACCCTGATGAGGTCTGTTGTTGCAGGTGTTTAAAGGGTACACTGACCCCGATGAGGTCTGTTGTTGCAGGTGTTTGAGGCGTACACTGACCCCCATGTGGTCTGTTGTTGCAGGTGTTTGAGGCATTCACTGACCCCGATGAGGTCTGTTGTTCCTGGTGTTTGAGGTGTACACTGACCCTGATGAGGTCTGTTGTTGCAGGTGTTTGAGGCATACACTGACCCCGATGAGGTCTGTTGTTGCAGGTGTTTGAGGCATACACTGACCCCGATGAGGTCTGTTGTTGCAGGTGTTTGAGGCGTACACTGACCCCGATGTGGTCTGTTGTTGCAGGTGTTTGAGGTGTACACTGACCCCGATGAGGTCTGTTGTTGCAGGTGTTTGAGGTGTACACTGACCCTGATGTGGTCTGTTGTTGCAGGTGTTTGAGGCATACACTGACCCCGATGAGGTCTGTTGTTGCAGGTGTTTGAGGCATACACTGACCCCGATGAGGTCTGTTGTTGCAGGTGTTTGAGGCGTACACTGACCCCGATGTGGTCTGTTGTTGCAGGTGTTTGAGGTGTACACTGACCCCGATGAGGTCTGTTGTTGCAGGTGTTTGAGGCGTACACTGACCCCGATGAGGTCTGTTGTTGCAGGTGTTTGAGGCATACACTGACCCCGATGAGGTCTGTTGTTGCAGGTGTTTGAGGCGTACACTGACCCCGATGAGGTCTGTTGTTGCAGGTGTTTGAGGCATACACTGACCCCGATGAGGTCTGTTGTTGCAGGTGTTTGAGGGGTACACTGACCCCGATGTGGTCTGTTGTTGCAGGTGTTTGAGGCATACACTGACCCCGATGAGGTCTGTTGTTGCAGGTGTTTGAGGCATACACTGACCCCGATGAGGTCTGTTGTTGCAGGTGTTTGAGGCGTACACTGACCCCGATGTGGTCTGTTGTTGCAGGTGTTTGAGGTGTACACTGACCCCGATGAGGTCTGTTGTTGCAGGTGTTTGAGGCGTACACTGACCCCGATGAGGTCTGTTGTTGCAGGTGTTTGAGGCATACACTGACCCCGATGAGGTCTGTTGTTGCAGGTGTTTGAGGCGTACACTGACCCCGATGAGGTCTGTTGTTGCAGGTGTTTGAGGCATACACTGACCCCGATGAGGTCTGTTGTTGCAGGTGTTTGAGGGGTACACTGACCCCGATGTGGTCTGTTGTTGCAGGTGTTTGAGGTGTACACTGACCCCGATGAGGTCTGTTGTTGCAGGTGTTTGAGGTGTACACTGACCCCGATGAGGTCTGTTGTTGCAGGTGTTTGAGGTGTACACTGACCCCGATGAGGTCTGTTGTTGCAGGTGTTTGAGGTGTACACTGACCCCGATGAGGTCTGTTGTTGCAGGTGTTTGAGGCATTCACTGACCCCGATGAGGTCTGTTGTTGCAGGTGTTTGAGGCATTCACTGACCCCGATGAGGTCTGTTGTTGCAGGTGTTTGAGGCATTCACTGACCCCGATGAGGTCTGTTGTTGCAGGTGTTTGAGGAATTCACTGAGCCTGATGTGGTCTGTTGTTGCAAGTGTTTGAGGCGTACACTGACCCCGATGAGGTCTGTTGTTGCAGGTGTTTGAGGAATTCACTGAGCCTGATGTGGTCTGTTGTTGCAGGTGTTTGAGGCATTCACTGACCCCGATGTGGTCTGCTGTAGCAGGTGTTTGAGGCATTCACTGACCCTGATGTGGTCTGTTGTTGCAGGTGTTTGAGGCATTCACTGACCCTGATGTGGTCTGTTGTTGCAGGTGTTTGAGGCATTCACTGACCCCGATGAGGTCTGTTGTTGCAGGTGTTTGAGGAATTCACTGAGCCTGATGTGGTCTGTTGTTGCAGGTGTTTGAGGGGTACACTGACCCCCATGTGGTCTGTTGTTGCAGGTGTTTGAGGCGTACACTGACCCCGATGAGGTCTGTTGTTGCAGGTGTTTGAGGCGTACACTGACCCCCATGTGGTCTGTTGTTGCAGGTGTTTGAGGGGTACACTGACCCCCATGTGGTCTGTTGTTGCAGGTGTTTGAGGCATTCACTGACCCTGATGTGGTCTGCTGTAGCAGGTGTTTGAGGCATTCACTGACCCTGATGTGGTCTGCTGTAGCAGGTGTTTGAGGCATTCACTGATCCTGATGAGGTCTGTTGTTGCAGGTGTTTGAGGCATTCACTGACCCCCATGTGGTCTGTTGTTGCAGGTGTTTGAGGGGTACACTGACCCCCATGTGGTCTGTTGTTGCAGGTGTTTGAGGCATTCACTGACCCCGATGAGGTCTGTTGTTGCAGGTGTTTGAGGCATTCACTGACCCCCATGTGGTCTGTTGTTGCAGGTGTTTGAGGGGTACACTGACCCCCATGTGGTCTGTTGTTGCAGGTGTTTGAGGCGTACACTGACCCCGATGAGGTCTGTTGTTGCAGGTGTTTGAGGCGTACACTGACCCCGATGTGGTCTGTTGTTGCAGGTGTTTGAGGCGTACACTGACCCCGATGAGGTCTGTTGTTGCAGGTGTTTGAGGGGTACACTGACCCCGATGTGGTCTGTTGTTGCAGGTGTTTGAGGCGTACACTGACCCCGATGTGGTCTGTTGTTGCAGGTGTTTGAGGCGTACACTGACCCCGATGTGGTCTGTTGTTGCAGGTGTTTGAGGCGTACACTGACCCCGATGAGGTCTGTTTTTGCAGGTGTTTGAGGCGTACACTGACCCCGATGTGGTCTGTTGTTGCAGGTGTTTGAGGCGTACACTGACCCCGATGAGGTCTGTTGTTGCAGGTGTTTGAGGCATACACTGACCCCGATGTGGTCTGTTGTTGCAGGTGTTTGAGGCGTACACTGACCCCGATGTGGTCTGTTGTTGCAGGTGTTTGAGGCGTACACTGACCCCGATGTGGTCTGTTGTTGCAGGTGTTTGAGGGGTACACTGACCCCGATGTGGTCTGTTGTTGCAGGTGTTTGAGGCGTACACTGACCCCGATGTGGTCTGTTGTTGCAGGTGTTTGAGGCGTACACTGATCCCGATGTGGTCTGTTGTTGCAGGTGTTTGAGGCGTACACTGACCCTGATGAGGTCTGTTGTTGCAGGTGTTTGAGGCGTACACTGACCAAGATGAGGTCTGTTGTTGCAGGTGTTTGAGGCGTACACTGACCCCGATGTGGTCTGTTGTTGCAGGTGTTTGAGGCGTACACTGACCCCGATGTGGTCTGTTGTTGCAGGTGTTTGAGGCGTACACTGACCCCGATGAGGTCTGTTGTTGCAGGTGTTTGAGGTGTACACTGACCCTGATGAGGTCTGTTGTTGCAGGTGTTTGAGGCGTACACTGACCCCGATGTGGTCTGTTGTTGCAGGTGTTTGAGGCGTACACTGACCCCGATGTGGTCTGTTGTTGCAGGTGTTTGAGGCGTACACTGACCCCGATGAGGTCTGTTGTTGCAGGTGTTTGAGGCGTACACTGACCCTGATGAGGTCTGTTGTTGCAGGTGTTTGAGGCGTACACTGACCCCGATGTGGTCTGTTGTTGCAGGTGTTTGAGGCGTACACTGACCCCGATGAGGTCTGTTGTTGCAGGTGTTTGAGGTGTACACTGACCCCGATGAGGTCTGTTGTTGCAGGTGTTTGAGGCGTACACTGACCCCGATGAGGTCTGTTGTTGCAGGTGTTTGAGGCGTACACTGACCCCGATGAGGTCTGTTGTTGCAGGTGTTTGAGGCGTACACTGACCCCGATGAGGTCTGTTGTTGCAGGTGTTTGAGGCGTACACTGACCCCGATGAGGTCTGTTGTTGCAGGTGTTTGAGGCGTACACTGACCCCGATGAGGTGGAGCCCGGAAGCTGGAGCTGGGAGCCGATCCTTTCCCCCGAGGAGCGTGTGAGTACCTCAAGTTGCTCAACTCGACATATCTTCCGTCTTGCTTGTTTAATTAGTTGGTTAATGGATTTTTGTTCAAACCTGTAGGGTTTAGGTATAATAACAAAAAAAAACGACAATCCAGAGAAAAAAAGAAATAAATGAAACAGTGTTTTGGGGGGATATTAAAAGGGGAACTGGCTTACTCCACTGAGATGCTCTCTAGTGTATGTCACTGAAACTAGGTAATAGATCAAAAGAAAAGTTCCACACAACAGGTAAGTGTTTCGTTTCATTATTTGGTAATATTTCTTAAATTTTGTATGTACATCAAGGAAGTGCTGACCTGATGCCATTTGTGAATCAGGATTACGTTTGAGGTTACAGTACCGTGTAGCCATGCCACCTTAATGTCTAGAATGTAAGTTACTTGCCAGAGTTGCCATTAATTACATAGCTAGATGGGGTGGTCCTACTCGCTTGGCACTGTTTGTGATGGTTTGCCAGTTGACATGTTGTTTTATGCATCAACATTACAGAGCGGCTGACAATAGTCTGTATGCTAGTTTTCAAAGCAAAAGCAATTCAAATAATTTTGTCAGTTTTTATTTTTTTGTAAATACATCACACATGCATTTATGTTTTACACAATTTTCTGTATTTGTAACCAGTCAGGTGTGATACTGCCTCCAGATACTAGATGGCACATTTCTGTCCATTCTCAAATTGTCTCTTGTCTCGACAAATGCCTGTTCAGTTTTCAAAAGTTTGAAGATGTTGGGATGGGAACCGGCAATCTGGAGTCTCAGTTACCTTTGCCACCCCTCAACATGGTTTGTTGTGAGTGAATGAGTGAGTATGGTTTTACGCCGCTTTAAGCAATCTTACAGCAATATCACGGCAGGGGACACCAGAAATGGGCTTCACAAATTGTACCCATGTCGGGAATCGAACCCGGGTCTTCGGCGTGACGATCAAACGCTCTAACCACTAGGCTGCCCGACCGCCCCTGTTGTAAGTGGTGAGTGAGACACTGGGGAGTAACTTTAGTGTCTGTTACATTGTTTCAGGAGAAGAAGAAACGTGAGAAACAGGAGGCACTACGTCTGTTGACAGAGCTCAAATCTGTCATCTCCGTCAGAGCCCAGGACAGAGAGAAGAGAGAGCAGATTGCCCTGTCAAAGATGGGTCAAGGGAAGACAACTCCTGCAGGACATAATGATGAACCCACAACTGAAACATCTGGAAATGTAACTAAAAACATTACCCAGAGCGCTGAACAAAATAGTTGTCATACTTCCATTTTGTATGGGAGAGATGACTTAAAGTCAGTGTGTGGACAGTCGCCCAGAGTCCATCGAAGGGGGGATAACTCTGATACGATTGAGAATAACAGATCCACCGTTGACGTTGATGATCGTTGTGACGATACTGAAGTCGGGGAAAGTATGTTCAGTGAGTTGAAGAAGGATAGATATTCATTTGCTGGAGCTGAGTGTTTGGACTCTTCTACTGAGAGTCATAGACATCTGTGTGAGGGTCGTATGTCAAAATGTCTGCCATCTGGTGGTGACGATCAGAGTAAGCCTGAAGCACCATCTGGTGGTGATGATCAGAGTAAGCCTGAAGCACCATCTGGTGGTGACGATCAGAGTAAGCCTGAAGCACCATCTGGTGGTGACGATCAGAGTAAGCCTCAAGCTCCATCTGGTGATGAAGATCAGAGTAAGCCTGAAGCGCCATCTGGTGATGAAGATCAGAGTAAGTGTGAAGCGCCATCTGGTAGTGATGATGAGCAATCAGATACAGCGTCATATGGCAAAGACTATGCCCCAGTAGAGAGAGACGACTTGAAAGAGAGGCTTGAGAGAATTCATGGAACTAATCTTGGTTTTACAGCCAATGTGGCTGCTATGGCTGCTGCAAGATCCGCGTTGCTCCGACGAAGTGAGCAGACATTTGGTGACACATTCGGAGACAGCAGCGAAGAGGAGGAAGGCATTGTGGGATAGATGCTACAGCATTCATTTCTTGACAAAGTACTTATGGAGGAGCTAGGACAGACAGTTGATATTTTTAAGGGGCAGGTGTGTGTGTTCTTCTTTGGGTTTACCACTATGTTTTCTTATCTTTCAAGATTTTCGTGTATTTCATACTCTCTTTTTTTCTTATATGTTCTTGTTTCTTGTGGGTGGGTCCATTTTGATCTCAGCTTCTTAAACGATTCTTCCAATGATAGTGAGTGAGTGAGTTGGGTTTAACGCCTCTTTTAACAGTATTCCAGTTATATCACAGCTTAATGTGGGAGGAAAGCCCGAAGTGATGCAGGTCTCTGACGTTTACCACTTCGGTGAAACCCACGAGCACGGGTATGGTGCTGACACACCTAGAAACATAATTGGGGCGAACCGGGATTCGAACCCACAATCATAGGTTTCTGGCATGCCCAAGGGATGCAACTCTGCACAGAGAATCGCGGCACCCTAGAAAACATGTGATGAGTACCATAACTAACTATATACCAAATTTCATTACATTTTTAGACGACTGGGCCACCCGTGCCCCCTCTTACAATAATATAAACAATAAGGTGTTAAGATGCATATCTTCAACCCAGTGCATCATGTGAGTATTGTTGCAAACTTCAGGTTAGGCTCTTCATCCAAACAAGGAAATAAACCTGTCTGGCTTTAACTTACTCAGTTACATGACTAAAAGTGCCCAAAAAAAATTGCACATGATAAATCACCAAGATCATTTAACAGTGACATATGAGATATATTTTGAGTAACTCATTTTCTATTTTGTAAATTCATTTTTTTTTTTACAATACTCAATGTTTAAGTTTATATTGACTAATAAACTGTTTATCATTTTTATACATTGTTATATATGTAAAATTCAGAATTCATTTCAGTAGACTGGACAATTTTTGGAGGGTTATGAATGACTTGTAACTGCCTAATACTCGGTACAGTGTATTAAATTTGTCATAAAAACAATTTTGACAATTTGTTTCATTCCAAAGAGAAAAATTCATCATATCACATATCTCATAACACTCATATCACTTCCACTTGCTTCAAACAAAATGGTGGCGCCAGTCAAGACCATCTGATCGATAATCAAGGTCTTTATTGTAATAAAACTGATCTTACCTCGCAAAGTATCTGTCGACTATGCATTTCAGTGTACAGGATTGATTTCTCCCACCCCTAGGCCTGGCATTCACCTTGACGTCTGTACACGCGCTGCCGACCATCAGCTCGAAGGCAAGAGCTACCCAGGTCGGAGAACAAGGACACAGCCCCAGTCTTGAACCTGCCAACCCCGAAAACGCCTTGCCTATATCAACCTGTTATGTCGGTGTTGTGGCGTCAACGTCATTCCACATGCTCAGATACCAAGTTCCCTCAATCGCCATGACACCGTCGACAGACACGATGTCCGAGAGCTCTCCGTTGCTGTCTCAGGGATGAAGCAGTTTTGGAGATGAAGTCCAATGTCTTGAACAGGCGTGGTCACGAGGGGTCTCCCACTCCTAGGCCTGTCTGTTGTGTGACCTGTCTCCCATAAATGTCGCCATCAACCTGGTTATGCCAACACAGGTGCAACCGAATGGTCAACGACTCTCTCGATTGCTGTTCAACAAGGCATATCTTTTTGGTGCTTTTGTTTACTGTGTTCCGAACAGTGTTTCTCGTTTGTTTGTTGTTTAACGCCCCCCTCAGCAATATTCCAGCTATATGACGGCGGTCCAAAAATAATCGAATCTGAACCAGACAAATTAAGTGATTGACATATTGAGCATCAATCTACGCAATTGACCACCCGATCCTGTTAGTCGGTAAGCATGGGTTGCTGAAGACCTATTCTAACCCGGATCTTTACGGGGATGTTCCAACATTTCAGCATCACTTTATACCAGTTTTGCATGCGGGTTAGGTCCTATGCGTGCAGATGTCGTTTTCGCAAAACGCATGTTTTTCACTTATATTTACATTTTATCACGCTTTGTTTCATTGAATACATTTGATTGTATTTGTGCGACATATTTCACCAAGATTTCATTTCTATGATTTACTTTAATTAGTAATCAGACAAAAAGAACGTCTTGGTGTACTTTCTTTTAGACTTCATTTCAGATGGGATGTCTAATTGCTGCGAACTATTATCGAAAAAAGGTTCATTTTCACCGACGCTTGAACTACGTGATTTCACTATCGCTAGATTGATGAAAAAATTAACTTGTGTATGGTTTTACTGAGAGGATTTATTACCATACACAGCATGTCAGTCTGACATGTGATTTCACATATATTTTATACATGAACTACCATGGTAGGTCGCTTAATGTTTGAGTTTGGTCTTTTTGTTGTTTAACGCTGCACTCAGCAATATCCCAGCTATATGACAGTGGCCTGTAAAAAAGCTCTGGACCTGATAATACAGTGGTCGATATTGTGAGCAATGTTCTAAGTATCGGGAAGGTTTGGGTACATTACATCAAATGGATCATCAAGTTTAAAATATTGTTTATGTGATTAATGAATGACGTACTACTGACAAAAACATAAGGAATGATAATGAAGGTGTAACCATGATAAATGTCTGTAAAATTAATTTCATGCGAGTGTCACTATTTGGTGATACATGCGCGACACCTTGATTAACTTGCGCATGGTTGCCTTTGGTATTGCTCGCCATTCCACCTGAGGAGCTACCCCAAGCTGGGCGGCTGCTGGGTCTCTGGGTACACTCTCCACCAGAGAACATCCCACAGATGCTCTACTGGGGACATGTCAGGGACTTAGCGGGCCAGTCAAGAGTCCGATGCCTCCTCGTCGGAGATAATTGCTGACGATCTGAGCATGATATGGTCTGGCATTGTCAGGCAGTTAAAAATGTGCAGATAATACTAGCGAATGGAACAATGACAGGACATCAAAATGTCAACTTATGGCTGGCCAGTCAAATGCACATTCACAATAACCAAATCAGTTATACCGCCCCAAATCTTGACACTACCGCCCCCATACCGATCATGTTAAGAGTTGTTGCCCTGGCATACCGCTCGCCGCTACGTCGCCAACAACGTTTTCTGCACTCTGGGAATCGGAGGTAAAACCAGGATTCGTCTGTAAACATGATGTAACGCCAGTCTGTCCCTGGTGTTGCCTAGCCCACCCCAACCCTTCACAGGACGCCTTGCTTTCAGGCGGGCTGCATAGAGCCAGTTTTTAACGGTAGATGTTGAAATTAACCTTCCTGTTATTGATAACAGGGGATAATTTTAATCTGCTGCGTATTGCAATAATGAGATTGTGCAATGTGATGAGACCATCTTGTCTAGGTGTTGTTTTCTTAGGCCACGACCAGGTTTCATTGCAACCCTCCGTTTGACGGTACTTGTTACACAGTCGAGAAATCACATTTTTTATTTGCATTTGGGCAACATTGGGTATTGTCCCCTCCTCTTACGTACATACAATTCGCCATTTTGTCTGTTCATTGAAATATTGCCCCGTGGGCATTTTTAAGCGTGTGCACAGCTCAACTGCATAAGTGAATGTGAGTTCCCCAACAGTCGCACACACGTTTGGGTTCTGTGTGCACGTGCCTCACGTGCTGGTCATACTAGATGTGAAATTTCATTGTAATTAGAAGTTGCGTTCAGATGCAACGTCATGGTAATTTAAATGTACACCTCAACGATCACGACAATAAAATCATCACTTCCCTTATCGGTTGTATACTCAACAACAAAAGTTCCTGTGACACCAATATTTTTGTGTATTTTTCAAACAAGTAAAGTTTGGTTTTCAATATCGTAGTACATGTATGGAATCAAGTCACAAAAACGCAACTGCTACAGAAAAGCATGCATTCCATGCAAAAGTTGACTTTTATGCAAGCCCCATGCATTTCACTACCAAAGAATGGGTATAAAACATGTGCGTTAACGGGATTCCATATGCATTGTTTAGCATCGTGCTGACAACAACCACTCAGGAAAACAACAAAATTACACAATTATTCAACATTACGAAATGCCACGCCTGTCTGAAAATGAGCGTCTGCGAGCCATTGGTATGCTTGAAGCAGGATCGCGTCAACGTAATGTTGCAAGACAATTTAACGTCCACAGAAACACCATTTGGTGTTTATGGCAACGTTGGCAACAGACGAATGCAGTCAGAGACCATCCTCGGAGTGGCAGGCCACTCATAACCAATAATCGACAAGACAACTGGATTTGAACAACACACCTACGGAATCGATTCCAGCCAGCAACAGTGACTGCAAGAAGCATCCCTGGCCTTCGACGAATATCTTCACAAACCGTACGTCGTCGCCTCAGATGTGCAGGGATTGTCGCCAGAAGACCCGCCAGACGTCCCATTTTGACAGGAAACCACCGTCAAGCACGTCTACAGTGGTGCAGATAGCGTCTACGCTGGACAGCCATGCAGTGGGGACAAGTTCTATTCACTGAAGAGACTCGTTTTCACCTCAGCCACAGCGATGGACGGATTCAAGTGTACCGACGTTGAGGTGAACGTTACGTCAATCATTGTGTCATGGAAGAAGATCGGTTCGGGGGCGGCAGCGTTATGGTATTGGTGGGATTACAGCAAGACAGAGGACCCGTTTGATAGTGATAGAGGGAAATCTCAATGGACAGCGCTACTGCGACGAGATTATCGGCCCTGTTGTTCTACCGTTTTTGCGTCATGGCCCAGGCATTCCCTTTCAACATGACCACGCCCGACCTTATATTGCTCGACTTGTTCAGGATTCTCTTCAACAAAACAACGTGAATGTCATCCCCTGGCCGGCTCGCTCCCCTGATCTCTCACCAATCGAGCACATGTGGGATGAGATGGATCGGCGCCTTCGACGTCAACCACGTGTTCAGTATGGCAAATCAAACCATTTGAACACTTACAGGAGTCTTTTATCTGTTGCAAACCGAAATTGTTTCAGATTTGGTAAAAAAACATAACTTTGCATTAAATCTTATTTAATGTCACAGGAACTTTTGTTGTTCAGTATATATTTGGATAATACAAACCTCATAAAAGGAGGAGCAAGATTTATTGGAAAATAATTTTGATACTTAACCCTGGTTGTACCTACACAAAATACTTTGTCAAAAAGAAATAGCAGGTTAAAATAATTTAAATGAAAACAATTCTTGATAATACAAGCCATCATGACATGCAATCGAACAGTTAAAAAATAGTGAAATTTGTTTAGCATTGTCCGTTGCGGAAATTTTCAAACCAGGCTTATGTTTGCAATTAAGTGTATGTCATTCAGACATTATATATTCTATCGCTA